AAGACACACCCCCTGTGAAAGAATAGACCATTCCAAGCTTTTACTTGTTGTGAAACAATGTTTAAACAACTCTATTCAAAAAGTTGATTAATCAGTTTCATTTGTAATGAAATTTGTACAAACTAATGTCTATTCATAGGCTGTTTTTTATTGTGGATTTTAATTCTGTTGTTTTACACACATTTCTATTTTTAGATGATAATGCCCATTATTTAAAAGTATTTCCTATCTAAGTAGCTAAAAGCACACAATGTTTTTGGCTGAATTATAGAAGTGCATGTAAAATCAAAGAACTTTGAACTGTCAAATTAAAGTTTCCTTATATAAAGCATAAATATGTATATCAAAATTAGCTGAAGGCCAAAATTGGAAAATTCAACCCAAAAATTTGCTTAACATCTGTCCTCCATAATGTTTAGGAGCAGAGCAGAACTTCAGAGACAGTACCTACCAAGAAGCTTTTAGTAGATGAGGAGTTTTTCTCTTTTCCAGAAAACAGCATTGATATTGTGCTCAGCAGTCTCAGGTAAGCCTTTGTCTGATAATTACAGTTGAAAAAGTATCATATTTTACCAAGTTTTTTTATATTGTAGTTTGTTATTTGGAGTTTAATTATCTAATAATCACAGTGACAAGTAAAAGAACCTTATGAGGCAAATAACATATTTATGAAAAGTATGTTTTCTTGAAAGGTACATTCCATCATCAACATAGAGTAAGCCTAACACATGAATGAAAACTGTAAAAAGAAATTCAGATGATGTGAATGATTTGAAATTATAAATATTTACAAAAATGATATTGATTAAAATGCATATACAAAGCATGATTGAAATAAAAACTTAACTGACAATAGCTTGTTTTCTTTAAATGTCAGAGGTTTCATTATTAAAGAGCTATATATTATAATTTTAAAACTTATCTTCTCAAGAGCTGTATTATCAGAACTGTAACTGTTATCTTCTCAAGAGCTGTATTATCAGAACTGTAACTGTTATCTTATCAAGAGCTGTATATCAGAACTGTAACTGTTATCTTCTCAAGAGCTGTATATCAGAACTGTAACTGTTATCTTTTCAAGAGCTATACATCAGAACTGTAACTGTTATCTTTTCAAGAGCTGTATATCAGAACTATAACTGCTATCTTTTCAAGAGCTGTACTTCAGAACTGTAACTGTTATCTTTTCAAGAGCTGTGCATCAGAACTGTAACTGTTATCTTTTCAAGAGCTGTGCATCAGAACTGTAACTGTTATCTTTTCAAGAGCTGTATATCAGAACTGTAACTGTTATCTTCTCAAGAGCTGTATATCTCAATTGTAACTGTTATCTTCTCAAGAGCTGTATATCAGAACTGTAACTGTTATCTTCTCATGAGCTGTATATGTGAGAATTTTACAATTATCTCAACAAGAGGTATATGTCAAAATTTTGAAACTATTGTATCAATAGGAATATATTGGAATTGTATTATCTTGTCAGATAATAATAAATAATAAGTTTAAGACAGATTGTGTTTTCTAGGATGTCAGCATATAATAGAAGCATAGGTGGATAGTGTTTGACTGATTCAAAAGGTAGTCCTGTTCTGTTCACATGACAACTGTCATGGATATAACCATGAATGTAAAACAGTTGTTATTTTTAAATACAAATATTTTAGTGACGATAAAAGATAAAATTATACATAGTTAATAAATTAGTTATACCTGAATGGATTTAAGTTTCCCTTTGTTCTGTAGATGGATATCTATCACATGCCTTTCTCAGGCATGATTACAAAGTATGATTTAAATTTAATGTAAAATAAACACATTATTAACTTTATTGCAAATACTGGTCTAATACTTACTCGTGTAAATTCCCGACCATTTTCATTTGTACAAGGAAAGGGTTGTAACTGATTAATTCAGTTATATGCTTTTTATGTGTGATTTGCATTTTAAAAAATTAATTGGCCATACATATAACAGGTTTGAATATTAACGTTTAAAAACCTTAATTAGCCTCATGTGATTATCAGGTTGATCCATCTGATAACATGCCAAGTTGTAAGTGGTTTATGACTCTTTTTTTCAATAAAGTGAAGTTAAAATTTGATCCTGAAAGTTACCCAAAATGACTCACAATGTATCTTAGAACATGTAGAACCTCAGAGCTTGTGGGGGCTTACATGGACCATAAGTCCCGCACCAATGCATTTGTTTCAGTCAAAATGATCATTAGACACTTTTATCCATGTACTTGGAATGTCCAGTAAGTCTGAAGGTTAGCTTTCTTTATCAGTTTCATAATTATAGATTTTATTGAAATATAGGTTAAATTTATTATTCAAACAAACATTATGGAAATGAAAGAAAATTCAGTAGTGATAATATATTACACATGCACACATCATCATACAAGTACACCATCAAACTCTCATGTCTTGGAACTAAGATGGATATGCCATGGATTTCATACAACATTTATTAGAGCTAAGATGGATGTGCCATTGATTTTGTACACGAGTTAATGACAGTTATTAGAGCTAAGACAAATATGCAATGGGTTTTATATGACTTACTTGAACTAAGACTGATATTCAATAGGTTTTGCACATGAGTTATTGGAGCTAAGATGGATATATATGCTTTGGTTTTGCATATGAGGTACTGACAGTTATTAGAGCTAAGACAAATATGTGTTGGGTTTTGTGCTTGAGTTATTGACAGGTATTTAAACTAAGACATGCCATAAGTTGTTTTTTTTTGGGGGGGGGGGTAATAGTTATTAGACAGTGACCAACCAAGAAATAAAATGTTTTTAAAATTTGTATCTTTTATAATTAGAGGTTTGAAATTCACTGAGAAGAAAAAATATAATTTTACACTAGTTATATGGTATTTTAGAGAATTACACACACACACACACACACTTTGTCATACAAGTACCCCATAAATTCTCATGTTTTAGAACTAAGATGTATATATCATAGATTTTGTACATCAGTGATTGACAGTTATTAGTGCTAAGGCTAATATGTCACGGGTTTCTTGAATCTTTTATTGACAAAATTAGATATTTACATGTATGTTTTTGTAGCCTAATCTTAAAACTTAGATTGCAATTAATATTTAAAATTATCTGGGTAGTAAAAAAGTATTGAAAAAATTTTCTCATAACGTAATCTGAATATTCAAACTTGAGCTCAATCAATGCAGAGAAATTAAGAGTTTGCATTTGTGGCTTTATTGGCTCAAATAAAATTGTCAGTTAAAAAGTTCCACCATTGAGAAGAACATGCTTGCATCAATTCCAAATATATATTGCACAGTGCACAATCATTGTGCTAGCATAAAAATAAAAAAAATATCTGTAGCTCAATATTAGATGAGAATGTGTATTATTTCTTAATTTTGTTTAATGTGAAAAATATTTTGTAATCTCTTACAGTTGAGGAACATTACCTTTGCATTGGAATGTAATTTAGCTCATTATGTTCTTTCTTTATAATGTCAGATGCAACATGCAGTTTTCTTTAAAAGCAATTTCAATTTTTTTTTGTTAAAATTTAAGTTAGTTGTAAAGAATTCATAATTCATAGAATACATATTTATTTATTTTTTAATTGTAAATAAAGGGTAATTGCTAAGAAATGTTAACCATGCATATAAATCATGACCATTGTACCTTGCTAATATTGTTTAATTCAGATCACTCTACTTTCATAAATGTTTTTCTCTTTCAGTCTTCATTGGGTTAATGACCTACCTGGATTGTTTAGACAGGTAAAGAATACTCTTGCAATAGATTGTTTATATATTCAGCAATGATGCAGTAAATGATAATAATAATAAAAGGTTTCATAAATAACCATAGACTATTAATTTCACTCACACAGGAAAGTCAGTGCTTCCTTTAATTTGACATCATTTAGTATGAGTATATGTAATCTGACTTATTAATATTTTTATTAAAGTCCATTGTATATGATCTTTTGTAGTTTTCTAAATCAATAACAAAAAACAGGGCTTCAAACTTGGAAAGATTGTTAAAATATTTTCAACCCTAAAGACAAAAAGAAATTTCTCATTGATATAATCTACAAGTTCATAGAGTGACTAAATAGTTTTATAATACCTCTTTTTTAATGTTTGTGTATTTCTCAATTTTTAGATCCACACTTCTTTGAAAAAAGATGGTGTTTTGATTGCATCACTGTTTGGAGGCGACACTTTGTTTGAGTTGAGATGTTCACTGCAACTTGCTGAATTAGAGCGAGAAGGAGTAAGTCAAGTTAACAAAGAGGGATTTACAATGGTTGTTAAATACCTAAGGTGGCAAAGTAATGACACTTCTGTTGTTATAAAAAGTGTAATTAATCCTTTCTTGATTGGAGGGCCATTAATAATATCATGATTTTTTTTCCTTCTCACTGTGGAAATACATATCCAAATTGCATGAAACTTTATTATAAACTTTCTAAATAATATATAGTTTCTGTTTCAAAAAAAAATTATTAACTTCATTTAGTTTTTCTGTCATTTGTAGATGGTAAAATTTCCAAACTTTCGTTGTGAGATATTGTTTTTGAAAAAAAAAACATTAAAAAGGTTTTCCTTTAGCTTACAATTGCATTTTTTTATTGGCCAAGATGTTCCATTTTGTATATATTATAAGTTTCAACATTCTTAATATTCAATAATATATTTCTTTTGATATTTATTTTTTGATTCAAGCAGCCATTGCTTTCAGCTATAAATTGTAAACAAACACAGCAAAACAGTGACTAAAGACTTATTTGTGAGCTAAAACCTCATCTCTGAAAATGCTATTACTGGTATCGTTGTCATGTTAAGTATCATCATCAGGGTGGTAAATAAATATTTTTTCTTACCAGGACATGTGTGATCAAATTACATTTTACTATACAAAATGAAATTAGTTTTCTTTATTTTATGTCAAAAGTAAGTTCAAAAGAATAGTAATAGTAAAAATGGTTTTGAAATGTAGAGGTAAAAGTACCATAATGTGACCAGTATGGTGTCAAATGCAAAGTTCCATATCAAATTTTCAAATTTAAATAAAATTAATAATTCTAACTCTATTTCAACAATTTCCAAGTCACTATTTTTGTTCCAGCCTTTAATTCTGTGCAGCTCCAAGGAGTATCATCTGTAAATGATGCGTTTATGAACATTAAAATTTTTCTGCCCATCCTGAAGTATAAGTATATATTTGCTGGAAAAACTTATTTCTTGATGCTACTGCATGTGATCTGAACATTTCTAATAAAGCACAGATGCTGAAAGTCTGGACTAGATTTTTACATCTATTTTGCAGGTTGCCTCTCCAGCTGGGAGAACCCTCTCTCCTGCTACAGGTCTGATGTTTTCTCCAGATGCTGCAAGTCTGGACTGGAATTTTGTAGCTATTTTACAGTTCACCCCTTCCTCTTACTGCTGCCTGGATGCTGGTTCCTGGGTGACTGATTTTGGTTGGAACTAGACCAGCCAACATAAGTCCTCACATGTGAGCAGGCTTCCACCTACAACAGAGTGGATGTTACATCATCAATGCTGATTGGTTTTGGACTGGAATTGACCCTCCATGTTGTATTTCCAACTTCCTGACGTTGTCCAGATGTACATTCCCAGGGTTTCTTGCTGCAGGTTGTGCTGGATTTGTGCACTTGAAGGTTTAGGTTCTCAGAATAGAGGTTCCTCTTCCCTTCTGGTTCCTAGACCTGAGCTGAATGGTTGAGGATCCTCCAACCATGGACTGGTCGAGTTCTTCCCAGTGCCACTGGTCTGGACCTCCTGCTTACTGTTCAATGTGCCTTAACCACTCTACACACATTCCTCTTCTTTAGGGATTTGGAATTGTTACCTTGTTCTGCCCTTTGATTGCTACACCACACCTGTTAGCTTCACATATGCAAAGAGTATACCTGTTTCAGATGTGGTGTCATTTCCCACAAGTGTTTCCTTTTCAAAGAGAGGACATACTCCATGGGTGCTCTTCAGATGCTTTTGAAGGGTGCTCATATAGGTAATTTTACACTGATCTCTCTACCTGCTCAATGTGAGATTCTAGCTGTATCTGTGAGTGGAAGTAAGTAATCATATAGGTAGTTAATATTTTCTTACATTGAAAATATATTTCCAATAGATACCTCCTCTCACACTTCCCAACTTCCAGTGTTATTTTTCTTGCCTAATCTTGAAGTGAAGATTGGGTTCAACTACATAGAGGGAGTCAGCTATGTTAGGGGGGGGGGTCACATTCCTGTTGGTGAAGGACTGCTACATCCTTAAACACAGCTGAACCATGTGGAATTAGGTGCAAGCTTCAAGGCTAGTGGCGAACAAAAATTTGCACACTAGAGGGCAGTCAAATTGAGAATAGTTGTAACTGTGAGAAGTATCTATAGGAAATATATTTTCAGTGTAGGAAAATATTAACTTCAGACATTGTCGCAGTATATATTGATAAAAACAGGAAGAAGAACTTATTTTCAAAGGAAGAATTCTCTGCAAGAGATGAATCAATGTGCACAAAAGTTGTATTGTTCAAAAGCTCTAATACTATCTTATAATTGAAAGGCAGTTTTAATGCCTTTTGTCATTTGCTGGATATGGTAATGGCCAAATTAGCCACTAATTTTTGTACAACCAACCCCAATTTATGTCAGCTTGATGATAGCTTATATTTTATTCTTTCACACAAATTATCATCATTTAATATTTTATCCTGTTAGCATTTGAAATAGTGTGTGTTTCTGTAGTATTGAGTGTAACTTATAATAAAAAATTCACATTTGCATTAAATGAAAGTAGATATTACTAGTATATTTGTGTGAATGATCCAGGAATATTTATTTCAGGGATTTGCTCCCCACATTTCTCCTTTCACCGAAGTTAGAGACTTGGGAAATTTGTTGACTAGAGCAGGATATTCCATGTTGACAGTTGTAAGTCTAATGTTGTTTTCTTTGGTACAAACCACTAGAAAGTTTTGTTTATACCAAAGTTTCCTTCATTCTACACCAAAAAATCACTTCAGAAACTTAATTTACAAGTTAGTAGCATAGAGAAAAATCAAAGATAGAAATTACAAGTTTTTTTACTTAGGTTAAAGAATATTGAAACTCTTGAATTGCACCACTAGTTAACTTACTTCATAATATTTTTAAAAGGATGAGGAACAGCTTTTAAAAGTGCACTATCCAAAAGTTTTGTAGTGGAAGCCCATCTACTTCAAATTATGAAGATACAAGCTATTTTAAAGAAATATTATGAAGTTTCATCTAAAATAATGATTAAATTACACATGCTTTAACTTCTTTAACCAAATTATGAACTGTTAAAAAACATTGTACACATTTCCAAAGATTGACATCTTGTGCTTCAATTGAAAATAATTTTATTGTTATTTTTGTAAGATTTTACTAGTGTGACTTTTGCTTAGAATTGCTCTATATTTTCTAGAAAATATGCCTAAGTGAAACATTAAGATTAGTTATTAGGTACACAGTAGTGCCTCATTATTCCTTGCATAGCTTTCTATATTACTTTCAGAGAACGTGTACTGTACATTTGTTTTTGAAACAACTCTTGTCTTTACAGGATACTGATGAAATTAAAGTGTGTTATCCATCTATGTTTGAACTAATGTGGGATTTAAAAGGTGAGGTAATATGATTAAATTTTATTTGTTCATTCTAACCAAAGCATAAAATAGTTGTTCTTTGAGAAGCCCTTATAACTAAAACACAAAGAATTAAAGGGATATATCATACATGTATAATAAATTCAGCCAGAAATAATAGCATGCACAAAAATAGATATTGAACATCTTGAAGCAAACCACTGAAGTGCATTTTGTTATAATCATGCAACAATATTTGTTTGCCCTTAACCCATTACCTGCTATGACCATTTTGTCTTATTGTGAGGGCAAAATCACATTTGTGAATTGAGAAACATTATAGAGAACTTATCTTTTATTGGATTTCAGATTTTATTTTTGTAGATAGTAGCATAACATTCAATTATTTATACAAAATTATATTATTTAATGAAGAAAATCCTAAAATATGTTTGAGACTGTAAATAAGTGCCCTCTAAGAAGAAAATTTTTTTTCAAAATTTAAAAAACAATTTTCCTTCCACTTCAGCACTAGTCCTGCCATCAATGATTGGTATATAAACCTTTTTCTAGTCTATTTTCTTTATAAAAAAGTGTCTGGGCATGTTAAACCTCAGTTGTAAAACTTTAAGCCAATCTTAGTCAAAGGTGTCAATTTCAGTACCATGTTATTCCAGTCACTGTATTTCACGTTTGACAGATCATAGGGTGATAAGCAAAGCACGTGATGAAATGTTGTTCTCTGGATTTTACAATTTGAATGTGGGTGGTGCTTATTATAGTAACTGCCATTTCATGTAGAGGTTGTATTTAGTATTGGCCAATAGTACTTTTCTATAAGCGTTAGAAAACTTGCTCTGGAAAAAACTGTATGGGATGTACATGATTTTTATTATTTTTCTATATTAGCTTAAGTCATGCTGCATCATATATCTATTTATATTAACAATTATATTGAAAAAGTAACTCAAAATAGATATATTTTTTAGGAAAGAAGTTGATCCAAGATTGTTAGGGATATGATCTATTGAGTGGCGAGTGCAAGGTCTTTACATGAATTAGGCTTAGCACTTTGAACTGAAAGAGTTTGTAATTTTCTATATTCTTTTGCATTTAAATTTGTAGTTTTAAGTTCAATAATTTAGCGTAATTTTATATTTAGTTCATAATAATAATATAATTCGGTATTTAGAATGATAAACTTGTATGAGTTGTACGTAATACTACTAGTACTAGTACCACATAAGAATTTTATATTTTTCCTTCTTACAATCTTTACTTTGTAGTAAGACCAACACTTCTGTTATTATTGCTTCAGAATTAAAACAGTCTAACTGATATATATAAAGTTTATTCTGATATTTTGCAAATGGTTCAAAACTCAGTGTACAAGTGACAACAATAAAACCCATGTTGGTTGTCAAGCAGACTAAATACATTTGTCTCAATAATACAGGGAAGCTATGACATTCTCACAGTTGGGATCTCAATACACTGAAGAGCTTAAGTTTCCAATTCCAACATAAATCTTGCCTATAATGAGAGGAATGTGACCAGGACTAATCTTTTAAGTGCTGTAAAGTAATTTTCTTTGTAATTTATGGTGTCTGTATTGTTGGGTAATCTAATCTCTTCTAACAGGATGTATCAAGTATCTAGGGTCAAGCGGTGGTGTTCAAACCACCTGTACTGTAAACTATTACATATCTTTGCTAGTAGTGGCAGTTAGTTTTGTCTGTATAGTGAAACAACATACATGGACATATGTTGAAATAAACTTGTTTGAAAGTTCAAAGAAATGATATTCAAGTACCAAAAAGCTTTCTTACTATCATATCTTCAGTAATGTTGAAATGCGCCTGCGCTGGACTGAACGAGAGTGACCACCAACAGGCATGGTAGTTTACGGCAAATGTACAAAGTTCATGCTGCTAACCTCACAATTTATTCAGCACAATAAATAAAAGTATGGCTGCACTGAAACATAAACTTGAAATAAAAATACATTTATGAAACAAAATTAAAATGTTTATGTACATATGTAAACATGAAATCCTAGTTAAAAATAAAAATATTTATTTATT